CTCTTTTCTCACTCTTCCCATTCTCTCTTTATAATGGAATGCCCCATGCTTGGGTTCACTGTCCAGTAGGGGGTTTATAGGCCGCTGCCCTGTTCTTGCTCCTCTAATAACAAACACAGGAAGCTGCTGTCACTGCACAAGGGCAGAAAAAAGGACAACACAAATGGACAGAGAGTTTCTTACACTTATAAAGTAAAAAACATTGAATTAATAACTGCATTTTATTTTTGTACAATGTGCTTTTGACTATTATAATATTAATTTGTGTTATTAACATAGCAGGTGCATGATAATGTATATATGATTTAACATTTATATGTAAGGCAAAAGCAGATGATTTTGCCCAAAGTGATTTACAAAAAGTACTGCTAACAGAAAATCATGTTAGAAGCACTGCATGCAAAGTAGCTGCAAGTTAGAGGAATAGTTCACCCAAAAATGAACATTTGCTGAAAATGTACTCACCCTCAGGCCATCTAAGATGTTTGTTTCCAGAACAGATTTTGAGAAATTAAGCATCACATCACTGGCTCACCAATGGGTGCTGTCACAGTCCAAAACAGTTGATCCAAACAATAATCCACAAGTAATGCACATGACTCCAGTCCATCAATTAATGTCTTGTGAAGTGAAAAGCTGTATGTTTGTAAGAAACACATCAATCATTAAGAGGGCAAAACCATCTTCTATCCATAATATTGCTCTCTCCATTGAAAAAGTCATCTTGTCTGAATCAGAAGAGAAATACTATATGTACAGATCAAGCACTGTCCAGTTCTAAACAAATATGTCGGTGGATTTTCACGTTCTGAATAAATAATCTTATCGTCTTATATCTCACAGGTTGACTTAACAGTAAATCTCACAAAGGTACACAGCCCCTAAATGGACATTGTGATGAAAAACATAAAAGATTACAGGAAAAATCATATTTCAATGCTTTTGCATTTTGATGCTGATGCTTTTGATTCCAAGAAACTTTAAATTTGCTCACAAAAGCACTGAAACATAGTTTATCCTGCCACCTCATATTATTTCCATAACCAGTTCTGTGTTCACAAAAGCAAAGTTTCTCATTTTCCCCCCATGACTATGTGCCATCAGGGGCTTTATTTCTTATTCTAAGCTTTACCTAACAATTGCTTTTTTTTACGGAAATGGGCTTCCATAAACTACTGATGAAAGAGATTTGTTTTGAGTTTGCATTTGAACTGTAAAAATGTTAAATATGGAATTCATCCAAAATATTTTTCTTCTAAATAAAAGTAACTGACAAATCATACAGAAAATTAATCAGTGAGAATGAAATGTTTTTGCATGTCTGTGAGGATGTGTGAAGGCCAGTCTTGCCATTTTATATACACACATGTGAAAACAGCTTGAGCTGAATAAAGAAAGAACAGTGCTTGTCTGTGGGTCAAAGAGGATATGAAGGATAAGACGGATCTCCTCTGGCTTGAAAAAGCGTATCCTCAGTGCTCATGCTCTCATGCGGAGGAATCTGAGCCAGTCACATTTTATGCCATCTAATTAGTGAGTCCAGTTGACAATGGATCTCTGAATCAGTTATATACCACCCTACAGATGGTCTCCTGCAGTGATGCTATGAAGCATATGACGAACAACAGAGAATGTATAATTTAAATTACAATACTGGGGAAGATGTTCAGATGGATTTAAGAATAAATTACATTTTAGTTTTATTTAAATATGCACCCCCCAAGCTAAAATCGCTCAGATGTCCTCTGAAAATCCAGCAGGACCATGAGCACCATACATTTTGTTAGTTGCAGTGGCCACTTTCTTAGACAGTAAAGCACTGTTTTCAAAATGACTGTACAGTTATGTCAAATTGTGGTTATTCTGTGTGCCGATCGGATAACTAATTGCACTGGCCAACTCAGCGGTGCTGCAATATGTGATTACATGCTCAGCTGGGAGTTAGAGACAGAGTTGGTTTGTTGTACTTTTTGTAATAATAGACATTGTGAGTTGTACTGCTTATTGTGTGGCTTCAAAAGAACTCCAGATGTATGTATTTTTGTTTTAGGGCAGCCTTTTAGCTTTAAGGAGTACCATTATCATCTTGGTGCACTGGAAAGTCATCAGATTAGAATATTAGGCCATTTCACACATGTGCATAAGCAGCGTTTAAATGGAGCTTAAGCTTAATAATGGCTATAAATAATAAAATGTCTATAAATTATAAAAAATTATATCAGGAGAGAACAATTGAGAACTATTATCATCTTGATGGTTAAAAAATATAAATTACATACGCAGGAGGATCCATTAAAAATATGTACAATTATACAAATGAATAAAAAATATTTTTAATTTAATTACTTTTTGGCTTGTTGTCTAGTAAGATATCTAAAATTATTGCTGAAACTTGAAATCAATGTTAGATTTGATAAAGTAATGCTTCTGAGTTTTGTGGGCCAGTGTCTTCTAAGCAGTGAACTGGCTAATTAAAGCATAAAGTGTGATATGTGTATGTGTGTAGTGACTAATGGAGATGAATTATGTTCTCTAAGTACAAGACAAGTAGGATTACTAGAATCTCTAAACTTCTGTCAGAAGTCTGCTTGCTGTCAGATTATAAGGACTCTTCATGAGAAGAATACTCTATAAATAGAAGCCTAATAAGAAGACTTGAAAAGAGAACAATAATAATTGACCTGTGTATTTTACAGCAAGCGCAGGATTATGTGCAAATGTGACACAAATTAGGCAGGTTTTCTTAAAGAGAGGAAGGCTTTCGCATCTGAAATGCCGTTTTGATTACTGTGCATGTTTTTCATTAATGCTTGCTAATAAAACGTCAAGACAAAGAACGTCAAGAATTAAGAAGTCACTTTGTTAACAAAGCTGGAAGGACAAAAGGGTTTCTGTGGCCTTGATGTGGTGGAGATGATCACAGACCCTTAGCTCTTGTCTTTCTGCTTGGCGACAATATCATGAATTTTTCCCCCCCCCGCTTATACGGCTGCAAGAATACAGGCATTGTATTTTGCAAACAGAGCGGTCACAGTTATTTAACCTCTCCTCCAGGAAAATCATTACCAGGAATTATGCCCATTTGAACCTCAGAGCCATTATCCCTGAACAGCAGACAGAAGCCCTGCTGCCTTTTATGTGTCTTGACATTCAGGCCACGCCACATTTGAGACCAACATATGTGATCTTTTAAATCATGTAACGTTTCTTTTTTCCCCTGCATGCCCTATTTGAAGTGTCCAGCTGCTCTTTTGATCTCAATGGGGTCACTGTTCACATGATGTGAGCACATCATCTTTGTTTATAACAACCGTCTTTTTTGTCAGTGACATACACTATGCTAACCAACTCATTGAAAGCATCAATATACAGTATTACTCAAATAATAGTATATCAATGTATTTGCTTTGTAGCTAGTCTGGGAACTTATATCATACTATATGGTCACCGTGATTTTGCCAATAAGACATGTTCCTGGATCAACATCTTTTGTTGATCCTGGACCAACATTACTGTCCAAAATACAGACTTAACCCAATCCCTACCCCTAAACCTAACCTTACCCATAATTTATTCCTAAAATCAGAGGGAAATGATAGCTGATTAACAAGGATGTAGAAGCACCTAATCCTAGTTGTAAGCCTAAAACTGACATTTCCTGAAAAGTTATCCCTCAATTCTGATTGGTTGATTGGAATGATGTTGAACAAGGATGTTGATCCAGGAACATGTTGTACTTGGTCAAATCCCGCTCACCCATACTATATGATCATTTTTGTCAGATATTTTATTGGTGAGCTGACATACTAATGAAATGCAGGCTTTGCAAGCCGTTTAAGAGACTTAGGACTCCTCTCTTTCAAGTAGATTACAGCAGTACTTTCAAGATTTGCAATAGCTGCCCAAAGACATTACTAAGATGGACAGCGAGTGGACTGTTTTAAAGGACTTTAATAAATGAGCCCAAATGCCTTCAGTGTAATGCAATTCAAACTAAATGTGTCATGCCATCAGATTGCCTTTGAATGATCAGTCGAGGTCATTGGGGGCATCCACAGCTTGATGCAAATCATTTAAAAATGCAAGCTCGACATAGATGCTTAAAGAAACTCATCTTGAGGCGCTTTACGCTTTGATAGATTTCTTGGTTAGGAGAAATCTGAGGTACTTATGTAAATCGCATTGAAGTAACCCACTCTTACCCAGAGGCGGTGCTGCTGAATGAGCACAGAGGGGCCCTATTCAGAGCTGTGGGCGTCATTCACACCTGAACTCAGCAGACATCACAGCTCGTAAGTTCTATCTCATTACCTTGCCATTCAAAACATCATCTCTGCTCAGAGGCCTCCAGCCGTTCACCTGAGGCTTCACTCAAAACTCCTGCAGTGTGTCCTGAAAGTCATGGATAATAAAGATGCTGTCACATTCCCCTCAGTCTCAGAATGCAAAAATGTGTTTAGGTGCACCTACCAGGGCTGCATGTGAGCTTTGGTTCCATCATACAATATGTCTGACAGACAAATTGTGGTAATTGTTTACATTTACTAAAACATTTACTCACTGTCTTGCATTGGAATAAAATCTTGAAATAAATTAATTCAAATTAAAGTATTAGACATGACTCCATTTTAATGTGACATCAGAATATGAAGATTTAAAATAATACAATACAATTATAAATATAAAATAACAAACTAATAAAATCATTACAGAATGCACCAAAGTCTAAAAGAATATTGTGAAAGGCATTTGATTATTTTTGCAGCAAGGGGGTTTATGAACCCATTTGTTTCATTAGCTTACAAGAAGAATGTTTATTACGTACAAGAAGAAACAAAATAAAGTACTTTATGCTACAAGTTGCTGAAAATGACCCATATGTGCATTTCAAAAGGAAGTATGCACACTATTAATAGATCTAATGGACATGGTGTTTAGTATTCAATCTGAGAGTGACTGACAGGAGAAGCAGAGGGGAGGCTGTGAAGTGACAGGGTGATGTTTCTGTTAGTAGACCTGTGTTTGTCTCTGGGGCTCCAGTATGATCCCACTGGAATCCTGAATGCAGGAGAAAGCAGCACGAGGGATTTTCTTTACATTGATGTAGTTGTACTGTAAATGGACAGTTGACAGTGGAGAATCCTCAGTCCTCTTAAACTTACAGATAGATTTCACTGGGACAGAGCTGAAAACACAAAGCCATACATATTACTTTTCAGGGATGTACATATTTTCATAATCATTCCTTTTGTAATGTTTTCAATTAAAATACCTAAACATCATTTTTATTTAAACTTAGAAAAATCTAAAAAGCAAATGTGTGCAATAAATAAAAATATTCCATTTGGGTGAGGAACATGTCTTCTCCAAAAAAAGAAAAACTTCTAACAATTTTCAATTAAAGTTATTTAACTATAAATGTTCATATATTTATAAAACAAGACAAAAATGCTAATTCAGAAAACGACTGCAGTGTAGTTATTGATCGATTCTTAAAGAGTGTTTCTAGACCTTACTAATTCAAGAGCTGTTTAGAGAGTAGAGATATGCATCCTTGTAATTACTGGCAGACCCTTAAGCAAGCACACAAATATTTTAATTAGTGCAGTTCATGTAGTTCACTCTGGAGCTTGGAGCTCTCACTACATCAGCTGCGATATTGGTTGCACTACAGTCTGCGGGTACAGACAAGCTTAAGCCTTTGAAATGCAAACTAATACAAAAGAAAGAGTGAAATTAGTAAGTAATAAATGAGAGAGAATGCAGAGCTGAGTCTGAGCAGGAGAAAAAAATCTAAAGAGAATGAGGATTTCAAGAAATAACAGGACAAAGTAGGAGTTGAGATGTGATTGCTGGCATAAGGTTGAGAGGGTTTCACAAATGGAGGTCGCATCATTTGGGCATGTAGAAGATTAACACTATGGTTCTGTTCCAAAACCTAGTGACTTACTAGACGGCAACTGTGCTCCATATGCAAATATTATTCTAAACATTATGCTGCCTTCTCAGATACTTCTCAAATTCAAGTTCATTCTATGTCTTTTTAAAGAATTAGGCATTCCAGTATGTACTGCAATGAGCACAGGACAAATGTTCTTATAACAACATTGTTATTCAGTACTGCAAAGTTGACACTACTTTGAGATCACTTGAGATTCTATGACAGTTAAGATGGTGCCTTAGAAGGTAGCAGTCTATGTAGGGCATAGGCAATGAGGCTTTAACCACTTTAGAAGCAAAGATTGCGGGCGACCTCAGATTAATGTTGTACAACATTCACAGCATGTTAAAACATCACACTCTTACTTGATCTGGACAAACTGTGTATCATGAGATAGGTTTAAGACTCCAGCTTCGATATCTGACCACTGTGTTAAGGAACAGAATTTAGCATACATACCTTATACGGTTATGGTCTAGATGCAGTAGTTTGAGGTTCTTGAAGTGGCGCATATTGTGTGGCACCCTCTCAAACCTGTTGTTGTCCAAGTGTAACTCCACCAGAGTTTGATAAACACCACGAAATGACTTCCCCAGCACGCCGTGCTCTTCTAACAGGTTGTGGGAGAGGCGTAGGGACTGTAAGCCTGGGCGGAGGTGACTCAGTGAGTATGGAGGAATGGAGTGAATGTGATTGTGCTGCAGGGAGAGTTGGCGCAAGGCCCTGGGCAGATCTGAGGGCACCACTGCCATCTGGTTATGGGACAGGTCAAGAGTTTCCAGCTTCCTGAGAAAACAGACAGAGGTGTGGTGTTACATCATGAAGTGTATTAGCGCTGGGCAATATAACCAAACTCTCAAATCACAATATGAGTAATTTTACTTCACGATTACTATATATAACATACAATACGATACACTAATATTTCTCATTAACTGAAGCCAGTGAGCTCTATTTTTAGTTGTCAATGACTTAGTGCTTTTTAACAAATCATTCAATGATTCAAGGGATCATTCATAACACATAAATGAAGTTAACTTTACATATTTTTGCCACCTACTGCTGTGAATATGTAATCTGAAGACATAGTCACTGAACTAATTATTGACAAAATCAGTGGGCAAATCTGAACAAATCTTTTTGGTGAATGGATTTTAAAAAGTCAAGACTTTGGGATGAATCAAAATCCCCACCACTAGTAAGTAGCATGAACGTTATAGCCATAGACTTCACACCAAGGACGATACCTATAAAGATAACGATAAAGATATAGTTCTAAAAATCGTTCTCAATATTAAATAATAGCAGAGTCCACACTACAACTATAACGATAAAGACAAAGTGAAACGATATCGTTGGAATCACTTTCAAAACGATTTTTCTCCAGATGAAAGATAAAAAAATTGACACCCAATCAGAATCCATCCTGCTGTAACGAGCTCAAGAATTTAAAGCGGCAGACGCTCGTGCGCTTAGAATAAACAGACGATATCGTTCGCTGGTGTGGATGCTGTTATCGTTCTTGGTGTGAACGGGGCTTAACAGTGGTTCTTAATTCCAGTCCTCGCGGCCCCCAAACTCTGCACATTTTGTATGTATATCTTATCACTTGAGACATTTGTTCTATTTGACCGTAACATACACTTGTTCTAACCATCCAATACCAGCATGGACTACTGGAATTCATGCTTGTCTAAGCATGTCTGTACAATACAATACAATTTGTATTTGTGTAAACAATGTTAAGAGTATTTTTGATGGTAAGTATACATTGGTTGCACCATATGTAGTGGGTTTCTCTCAAGTGCTGGGGGAGCTTGTGAAGTTTTCTGCAGTGTTTGCACGGAGAACGGGCCCCATGGCAGGTCATTAACCCAGCACAAGACAGCTAGAGCCAAAAAAGCCTGTGTGTCGACTTTGTATTTGTGTGTGTGTGTTCTGTGAAAGCACAGGGGGGTTTGGGGGTGGAAGATTTCGAGAGTGTGAGAGAATGTCCTAAAAGTCATGGTAGTGTAAGAGAGGCTTTTGTGTTTACTGAGATGGGTCTGGAGGAGGCAGCTGGTGTAAGTTTACAATGTTCGTCTCAGCAGGAGTCAGGAGCACATTTCCTCTGCCTCCGTAACACTGACGGCTGCCCAGTCCACCAGTGTGCTAAGCAGGAATAAGGGTCTCATATTGCAATGACTGTTATTATTACATCAAAAGCTAGTGACCTCCATGTGGATTTCATTCACCCAACAAGTTCTGATACTGACCTTGAGATGAGACTTTAGATGTTGCAGACTCAATGTCAATCAGAATATCTGGCAGTGAATGTAGCTGACAGAGTTCCAGAGAGGAGCCCTGAGCTATTATGTTTAGTTCTAGTTTGAAGTAAAATAAAGTTATCGGTATCGCATCAATGTATATTTTGAGATATACATTGATGTCAGATACACTGTTAATTTATCACAGAATGTTTTTGCCCGAAGCAGTTTTGTGTTTGTCTATAACACTGTGTCAGACATTTGGAAAATCTAAAAACTTGGTTCTTCTTGCCTAGGGCACAAAGAGGGTCAAGACTGCCACTGGTGACCCTTAAAAAACAAATAATGTAAATGCATGAGGTTCCTGCTTTTTGGAAATAAGTGTTAATGCTAATAAATAGAGGGAATTTTCCCCCTTCTTTAGGAGATTTTCATCAACAGTTGGGTTGTTAAATAAACCCATAAATGTTTTGTGCATGTGCGCAATGGACCACTGTCACAAGAGAGCCAACATAATAATTTACAGCCAAAAAGACACACTCACACACATGCATATATATCCATATCCAACATACCCTTATATACGCAGAATATATATATATATATATATATATATATATATATATATATACTTTATTATTTTTATATTTACTATTATTTATATTACATATTTATTATATATTAAGGTTTTATGTATTGTTAGCTTATTTTTATTTATATTATATTAGCAGTCTGAAAATCCACAATTAAGCTGACCAGTAGAAAAAAAGTATTTCACTGCCTGAACTATATCTAAAAGCAATTACCATCGTAAAAACTTTTAAACGTGAAATACCAGATACCATCTGAGTGACAAAACTGCCATAAAATACAATTTTGTAAAAAAAAAAAAATATTATTCCAGACCACAATAAAGCAGTTTTAGGATTATTGGCTTCTGATGTCTGAGTCAGATTTATATACTGACATTGTTCCCACACAGATTCCCCCCACCGACAAGCCAATAAAGGTGGGCATCCTCAGGGAGCACTCCCATAATGAGAAGCAGAGAGCACGGCTGCCACCTCATGTCCACAGGCACACCGATGCCAGCGTTGCACAACCACCCTTACGTAACCTGGCACGCAGGACAGGAAGACCACTGTCACGACAAGGCACATTTTGTTAGATCTCATGTTATATCATGCATGCGGGAGACCCAGGCACAGCTAAACTCAGCCCCTTCATTTAGGGCACAATGATTTGAACTAGCAAGAGCGAGCAATGGCATAATCATCTCCAGCTGTAATTCGTGCTCTTTTCCTGACATTATTCACAGAACAGGTTTTGAGGTTTTTTTCACACTTTAAAGAGTGTATGGCATTTACATGTATGCGTGTGTGTCTCTTCATATCTGCACAACCGCTGGCTCTTGGTTGTCTCCTCAGGCAGAGACACTTTATATAACTTCTTATGAAATCAGAATGTGAACTTCTTGGTGAAACTGCACTAACTTGCGTTTTTGTCTGCCTGTGTGAGAAAACAAGCAGTGCTTGTCCTTTGTTTCACCCCCCTGCCTCATTCTCGTAAGCTCAGTCCAGCCAGCGCATCAACACTGTCCTCACATCCATCAAAATCCTCTGTCTCAGGTCATCGGCCTGCAGAGGAGCCCTCTCCCAGCACACCCTGTTCTTCACCCTGAGAACCAAAACAACCCTCCAGATGACAGGGGACCTGTCGTGTCAATGCATACACACACAAAAATGTGTGCACCTATATAAACACACAGGCATATGAACACACAGAGCACAGCGGTCCTTCAACCCCAAGTTGCACAGCTTCCCATGACATTTGACTGTGTATTGCAGACGTGGCGTCACTGGTCAGAGATGTGTCACTTTTAAAGTAAATTTAAAAGAATCTTATTAGCAGTTCTACTAGAGCTTCTCCTCTAAGGGAAATAAACCATGAAGGTTGTTCAGTGACACTGAAAACTGTAATTAGATTTTAAAGGCCTGGCACTTTAAAAGAGGAGGACAGAGCCATAGGCGGAGGGTGAACCAACTCCAGGGTAAGGCTAAAAGCAGCCAAATCTATTAACTACTAAACATCTTAAACCCGTCTTTTTAGGCAAGAACCAGACATGGGTGTCATGTAGGCTAATAAAATATGTTTAATGGGACTGAATTTGTATTTAACATGATTACAGTTTAATAATAACATTAGAAATTGGTAATTATAAAACGTTTCCTTTCCAAGGTTATTCAAACAGTGAATAAATTATTATACAGAAAGTGACAACATTAACTTTGATCTATTGAACTTTTGATCTTTTAAGCACTCTCAAAAAACAAAATGATCGTTTTAATCACTGAAGCTGTCGACACTGTGAAACGAATCTCTTACGTTGTACTTACATCTGCGCTTTGTTGTTTATGATGAGAAAATAAGCGGAATTCAGTCAGCGAACGCGCGCGCACTCAAAACTGAGAACGCCTCTGATTGGCCATTGCATTCCTTAGCTCAACGGAATCGCATGTGATTGGTTATAATGCGCGACACTGTAAAAACGCCTAAAATGAAATACGGTGCAACATTAGCCGTTCTTAATTTAATGCCGCAATCGACACTTTCTAATCATTTTCATTTTGTTAGCAACAGACGTAATAGATTTAATTTGTTTGCGCAGGGGCATTTTCGTCCAATTTAGTGGCATTTTTGCCCCAACTCGCTGTGGCCCCCTGCCTTACACACGCTCGGCCTATGGACAGAGCTCAAGGAGGCGAGGTCCGTGAGGACATTAATATACACATAGTTCAAGCAAAAATGAAAATCCTGTCACCATTTACTCACCCTTATATCTTTCCAAACCATTACAAAAAAATTTTTTCAAAACACAAATTAAGATATTTTTTAATTAAACCTGAAAGATTTCTGTCACTCCATTGAAAGTCCATGCAAGTAAAACTTTCAATGTGCTAAAAGGTCATAAAGGCATCGACAGAAAGCTAGAGCAAGTGTAAATGCAGAAACAAATACAGAGAGAAAAGGAAAAAAGTTGCCTTTGTTATATGCTGAGGATCTGTAATGCCGTTAGCATTTCCAATCATTTCAATAGCAGTTCTGGCACAAGACCCCCAGAAGCAAGCAATTTGCCATCTTTTTGGGCCACAGATGTTTTTTTGAGCCAATTGTCTCAGCTGGAAATGTCATGTGACTGATCACAAACAAAATTCAAGAAAATATTGTCATGGCTACATCTTTATGTATGTATGTATGTAGAATATGCAGCTGGGCTGCTTTGAGAAATGGAGTGTTGAGGAGGTGTTGATGGAGCTGGGATTTACAGTGCTATTTAGACTGGGTCCATGGTGCCAACTGGGACATTATTTGGGCTCACAGGCACTCATAAAGGCTGAAGAAATTAAAGCAGACAGTAAAAGTCTTGCCTTAACAAGATAATAGCATGGTGCTGCAGTGTTTGGGTAGATCACAGGATCCCACACATGAATGCATGCACACACACACATCTATAGTAACAATTAACAGCAGCAATTTGAT